GATGCAAATACGCACGCTCTGCGGGCTAGTTTAGAGACGCTCAGCCCACTGCCGACGCATTCCATCCACCACCCGTGCCGCCTTCTGTCGTTTCCGCCGTACACCAAACACCGCACCCAGGCCGAAAAACACCAATTAGAGAAATGGCTTGTGAACCCAGAGAGAAGAAGACTCGAGGAGAGTCTACCACAACAGAGAGCAACGATAACAACACGAGGGTGGAGACAGTTTCTGCTGTTCCAGCGAGTTCGTAAGAGGGTCTGAATGTAGTGGACTGATGGGGGTGTGTGTGTGTGTGTGTGTGTGTGGTGTGTGTGTGTGTGTGTGTGCTGTGTGTGTGTGTGTGTGTGTGTGTGTTGTGTGTTGTGGTGTGTGTGTGTGTGTGGTGTGTGTGTGTGTGTGGTCACTTCGTATGACATCTGGTCCTCAGCGATCTCTGTGGCTCGAGCAAAAGTCAAGCGTCGCAAAGCTAATTAGCAATCCCCTTATCTTCAGAGGTTAAGTACTTTGCATTCTGTAACATTTGCTCTGTGCATCACATGTATTATTTCTTGACATTTCCAAGGAGCATGATCCAGAATCAGAATTAAAGCATTATTGTGAACAAAAACAGCAGATAAGGGATTTACCTGAGGATTGTTAATTGGTTTGTAAAATATGCTGCTGTCAGGAATTTGTAAGTCAGTCATCGTACAAACTCTCGAAACCATCGCCTATCGAACTGCTAATATGTTTTAAGGGCAAGAAGGCAATATTTTGGGCATCGCTTTCTGACAAGACTTTCTTATCTGCGACTCGTTGACTAACGGACTCAACCATAATAGAAAGTAGTTCAAATCTGCAGCATGTTTAAAAAGCTCTGGAGGGAACACAAGGATTTTAGCTTTGTAGACAAAGTGCTTCACAAACCTATATTCATTATATATTATATATATTGGGGTGGTTTGGCGCAGTGGTTAGAGCGTTGTCATCTCGTCACGGGGCGTTGGTGAATCAGTTCGAATCCCACTCGGCGCCACTGCGCGATCAGCCGTTGTGTCCTTGTGCAAGCACTTTACCCGCATTTGCTCTGTGGGTAATGTCACAGTAATGACTCTTACATGTCTAATATGTGTAATGTGTATTTGTAAAGCGCTTTGAGCACCTGTAAAAGTGCTCTAATAAAAAAATGTAATCCATTATTATTATTATTATTATATAGCACGCTACAGGAAAGGGAAAAACACTAACATAAAATTGTCTTTTTAACTCCTGTGTTGCTCGAAAGAAAACTCTTAAATGCAGCTGATCAATGACCACAACATTATGTAGCTCTCTTGACTGTATGTTTACTGTTCTAATGACATATTGATCCAAGATTCCCTCTTTTCTCCAACTTTCCGTGCAGAGATACAATCCTCAGATGGTTTGTTCCACCTTTCTCTTGTGTTACATTGACTGAAGTGAGGTGTGTTGGAAAATGGAGAACCTGAAAGCCTTTAGCCGTGTTGGTGGGTGTTCAAAGAAAGGTCACGCTATGGCAGAGGGAGAAAAAACCCTCTGACCTTTGCATCAATGTCAGCGGATGATTGTGGTCCTCTGAGGGAGCGGGAGATAAAACAGCAGACGCACTATTATGGAGCGCAGTGTGGATGGACTGCAGGGTGATAATCTTTTCTCAGTGTCAGGGAGAGTTTCAGAGAAAGAAAAGGGTCTCTTGTGGCACCTCAGATGGTATCAATATCGCTGAATCTGCTTCAAAAAGTAATCATTGTTACACACTTTCAGACTCATGATAGGCAGTTTTAAAAGTTCAGAAAGTTTTAAATTCGATGCCGCAGAACGAGAGATATTGCCTTTTGTATTCTCAGAGATTCTGGTGTATTCAGCTAATGTCATCTGGAGCCCAAAGCAGAGATAAAGAGGAAACAACAGAGGTCCGGACTTCTTTCAAACATCACATTTGTTTAATTTTCAAACGTGTCTTCAGCCCAAAACACCCCTGACTCAGTGACATTGCCTGAGGCATTTGATCAGATATTACAACTCCACCTCTGAGGGCACACAACGCTTTAAGCAACTATTTCTCAACATCAACAGCAGCACTTTCCAAAACCTGTCAACAGTCTTTGATCAGTTTTACTTTCATCCGCTATAAAGAGCAGTGATCGATTTCCGCAGGCTGATGCAAAGTTAGCCCCACAAGTGTCAGGGTTGAGCGAAGCAGGCAGGACCCAAATGCAGGTTTAACAGAAAATACCTTTATTTCAAGGCTACAAGTAACATACCGAGCTGAACTCTCTCCCCCGTGAACACAGTCAACAACAACAAGGATCTCACAACGACAGACAGAAAAACCAGAACTTAAATGCACACAAGACTAATCACACAAACAAGACACAGGTGAGGAGGGAGGAGAAAACACAGGGGCACCAGGTGAACACAATCAGGTATTCAGGCAGGTGGGAACACAGAGGCAGGAAGCAACAGACAAGACGGGGGGTGAACACTTTTCCAACTAAAACAGGAAACCAAAGACAGAGCTTGACATGAAAAAACACAACGCAGACAGATCGTGACAACAAGAGCTCCCTCGACAAAAAAAACGATACGATTTTGGAATATTGCGGAAAATAAAATCTCACATAAATAATCTACACATATTAACACAACTTTATAATGGTTTAAGCCTTAAATGAAAACCCTAGAAGTAAAAAGCAAATGTTAAGCTATAAAGGAACTACAGCACGGTCACATGACTCCACGTCACCACCGCTTAGCTAAAGGTGGCTAATGTTGGGATATAAAGGAACTACAGCACGGTCACATGACTTCACGTCACCACTGCTAAGCTAATGGCGGCTAATGTTGGGATATAAAGGAACTACAGCACGGTCACATGACTTCACGTCACCACCGCTAAGCTAAAGGTGGCTAATGTTGGGCTATAAAGGAACTACAGCACGGTCACATGACTTCATGTCACCACCGCTAAGCTAAAGGTGGCTAATGTTGAGCTATAAAGGAACTACAGCACGGTCACATGACTTCACGTCACCACCGCTAAGCTAAAGGTGGCTAATGTTGAGCTATAAAGGAACTACAGCACGGTCACATGAATTCACGTCACCACCGCTAAGCTAAAGGCGGCTAATGTTGGGCTATAAAGGAACTACAGCACGGTCACATGACTTCACGCCATCACCGCTAAGCTAAAGGCGGCTAATGTTGGCCGGGATTACGTTTAGTCGTCTCATTTAGCCTATTTTTATTCACCAGTGGTGTATTTAGTGACGCATTTCATCATCAGCTTGTGTTTATTACATACTTGTACATCAGAAGTTTTCATGGATACAGACTTTTATACTTTATCCTGAAGCTCACCATCAACTCTTCTGTCCTACTTATTTCTAGCTGTGCGTTACAAGAATAATTTGCAGTTGATACAACCGAAAAGTGGAAGTGGGTTCCACTTAATGTTCTACCTGCCTTTCCTTTCTATTAGTCCACTTTTGCATCTGTTTCTCTTCATTATGTTTTCCATGTCGCTGAAGTCTCCTCAATGAACTCACAGAAATAAATCATGCTCATCTCTTTCAGCAAAATGGCTAAAATGACGGCACAGTTCAAACACAGGTGACGGTTATAAAGCCCCACATACTTCTATATCTCGGAGTTAGCATGTTTTAAGATAGGCAGAAACATTTCTGTCTTCCTCAATTATAACAAAAAAGCCCAATTTCACATTTCACAGACTCAGAGATCCACTTTAGATTTATACTACAGGAGGAGCAGAGAGTTCACGGAAACACAGAAAGGTAATTGCAGCTGTAACCATTACTGAGGAGGGGGTCAAAAAAATATCCTCATACATAAATGGCTGATCAGTGCAGGGAATGGTACAATCCCCCCACTTCCCCTAGAGAAATTAATCCAGTGCAAATGCTGCTTTTATGATTATGAATTGACTCTTACAGGTACAAACAAAGGCTCATCAAACAGTTTGTAATCTCTCAATACAGTACCGCACTTGAACATCAGCAGGAGAGGACTCTTTAAAGTGGAGACGCTACATACTGATATACACCTGAACATCAGCAGGAGAGGACTCTTTAAAGTGGAGACGCTACATACTGATATACACCTGAACATCAGCAGGAGAGGACTCTTTAAGGATATAAAGGAACTACAGCACGGTCACATGACTTCACGTCACCACCGCTTAGCTAAAGGTGGCTAATGTTGGGCTATAAAGGAACTACAGCACGGTCACATGACTTCACATCACCACTGCTAAGCTAATGGCGGCT